TTCACTTGCTGCCTGATATATCCGGCCCACTGACAGGAGCCATGATAACCACATAATAAGTCACTTAACCCTATCAGTGCTCATAATGTTATGGCTGATCGGTGTATACCATAAACATGAGCATGTAATGTGTTATAGATAACAGTTCACTGTCAGAAAAAGTTTGATATAGACTTAAAGTACTTTTGTATGATGGTAAGTCACAAACTCATGAAGCTCTGCCCTGTGAAGCTGAACCATTAACATGCAAAAAGCGAACACTCCACTTGGAGGTGTAGGTGGTGCCTTGACCAGTGGTCTATAAAATCTTTGTTCACATCACTTTGTTCACACAAAGCTGGGATATTATAAAGATAAATATTCAGTCTTTTGTTAAAAGTATGCTTGTCCTCAGATCTTGGAAAATTTTCAAGGTCATTTTGAAAAGACTACACAAGGTGAGCTCTAAGTTTCATCCAAATGAAAAAAGGCAACACTTTTACTGGTCTATTTCCTCAGAGCCTTCCTGCTAAGCAAAGCCCCCATGTGTGCTGGCAATTGAAGATTGGGCTGTCTGCATGGGGAAATGCACAAGCGCAGTCTCATTACCAAACCAAATTGAGTTCTGATGTAGAGCCTGTGTATTTCTGAGGAGTAAAAAGCGAGGCATTTCTTCTCTTTGTAATTGGAGGTTGGAAAGAGGGGTGGGGGCGCAGATACTAGGGGATTATGGAAAGATGAGTTTGTCCTGAACATTTTCTTCCCTCATATCTCACTTTGCCATTTTTTCTACTACATTACACAATTTTCTTTGAGCATGTTTCCAGAATGTAGCAAGACCTCCTTACAAAAGGTCCTAGTTTGTTTGTTTTTTCAATCACTGAGTGTACACGATGTACTGCATGTTGTTATTCCACTACAAGAATCCTGCGTTGTAAAATCTACTAAAACACAATGATAGATCAGCAGCAGTATCTTAGTTGATACATCCTGCATTTGTCTTTGGGAAAATATGCACTGTAGCGTGTTTCGGTATCGTGTAGACTGCTGATTGATGGACTCTGTCAAACTGTCAGTCTGTCACATAAAAGTGATCCTCTGAGACTGTCCATAATTGTATCTAATATAGGGTGGTATTGATTTAAAACTTCAGTGGAAAGCATGAGAAAGCTGGTAGTTATCATGTATCATTGTTTGCTTTATAATTTATGAATGTAACGTTTCCTCTTTGTCTTTCTCCCACAAATCTCACCTTGCTATATCCTTTACACCAGCACTCTTCTTTGATTGTTTTCTTTGTTCCTCCCAGAGTGTAGTTCTTTGTGCAAAGACTCAAGACCATTTACCATTCATGAGCAGAGAAGGCTGCAATACTTCACTTGTGTAACACTTGCTGAAACCATAAAAAGCAGCCACACCAAAAGCAAAAACAGATTTGCACAAGTGTTGTTTTGTATTATTCTGTGAAGGAATTCAAGGCCAAACTGACAAAGGTCTCCTTTTTTATTAAGGATGTTAAAGGATAAGGCTGTTGATATTTTACATTTGTCTTGTTGTCTTGTTCTCAACAAATCCCATTAAAAACAAAACAAAACTAAAATTGAATTGATCACGGTAACAAGTACTGTCTGTGTAGCCAAAGCCTGATATATCTTTTTCCTCTGTGCTTCTTTGTTATTCAAAAACTATTAAAAACACATCAATGAGCCACATTATTGCACTCATGGCATTTTCCTTCATTACAATAATCATGGGTATAGTAGTTTATTTAAAGTCAATTCCACTTACCAAAGCAACAAATGTGCATTAATCCGCATCTAAAAATAGCCCCTAATAAAAACACAGTTTACTCCTGTGTAAGTAATGTTTGCTTAAAACTATGGGTTTAGTACATTATTCAGCATATTTTTAAAGATCTTTGTCATCAGCAAAAACCAGTGGACTTGTGACCATGGGAGAGCCACAGGCATTGAAGGGAGGTCACTAAGTATTGAGAAACATATGAGAGAATTGTCGGTTTTGGTCTTTCTAGACAGGAATAATGTCAACCTTAACCTTAAAAGGTTACAAACCGGCATCTGCTGGACGTGACAAAATCACAGTGTTAGGTAAAGTAGGTTTTATTAAAATAATGTTACAGCACACTGATCACCAGTTTATTACCAAGGAGTTAATGAGTATTAATCACATGAAAAAAAAATACATTATTCAGGGTAAGTAAATTTTAAAGCAAATTATTTTAATTCCACTTCATAAACACTGGTAGTTTTATGTAAAAATATATTTTAGGAAACACATTTGCTCTTTTTTTAAATTAAATTTTATTTTTGATTTTGTAAATTCGGTTCATGGATGATCATTATCAAATAAAATAATCACGGAAATGTCAGATAGTATTTTATCAGTCACATGACTAAGTCCTTGATGCTGCCACTTTCAGTTGTGGCATTTTGGAGTTGCATTGTCCCTCATCCTTTTATGCACACTCAACACAACAAGTTATTAACATCGCTGCACAATCTAGCCAGAAACCAATTTGCATAGGATTGCTTATTCATAACCAGCACATACACATGTAGTTATGCATGCATCCTGTAGTTTGCAGTCATTGTGATATCTGAATGAATGACAGACTATTGTTTTCTACTTAATTTGGGGTGAAGTTCCCTTAAACAGTTCCTGTGTTACTGCTGTGGAGCAGGTCATCATGTAACACGGAGTCCTCTGGAGACTGTAGTGATTAATGGACTCTGTCATGCTGTCAGTGTCGTAAAACTAATACAGTGACAGTGACCATTATTGTACCTCTTAAAGATAGCAACGAGTTAGAAGTGAAGTGGATTGTAGTGCTTCGCTGTGGAGGGAGTTAAATGTAGGTATCACCTCAATGCTACAAATATTTTTACAATTTGAAGTCAGTATTATCGTGTTAGTTTCATAGTTCTGGGCTGCTACAGTTTTGTAACAGATTCTTCACATGTTGTCATATGAAATCCTCCTAATCCAGAGATTGATGATTGTCAGGCTTTCTATTTTGAGGAAAGATGTTAACATATTGCAGCAGAAGTGCAACCAAATCATCTGCTTGTGTGTCTGGTAGATATCTGTCTCATGCAGTTAAAAGCCAGCCAGTATGCTTTTAGCATCATTTCAGATAAATTGATCAGCCCTTTAGTGATTCAGTAATCCATAAAGGATCAATTGATCAGTAGGCAAATTTAACAAAAAGTCAGTCCGGTCCTTTCAGGTGAAGTGTATTTTATAATTTATCAAGACCATGTTATAACTAAAAAAACATTTAAAGGTACATCATATACTCCCAAAGACATGGTGATCAACTTCAGCCTTTAGGTACATTCTAATAAACA